GAGAGAGAGAGAGAGAGAGAGAGAGAGAGAGAGAGAGAGAGAGAGAGAGAGAGAGAGAAAGTCAAGTTCATTGACGGAGGTGAATTGGGGTATTCAGGGCGGATTCCGGTCTCGAGTGGCCCTGGTTCACCCCCGTCAGTGAATTGAAAAGCCTGCGATTAAAATTCGAGTGGGTAAGTTAGGCTATTCTGGGCATCCATGTTTTTTACGAAACGCATGCTTTGAAAATTGAAATTGCTCCAGTTCAGTGACATAAATAAGAATTTCAGAGCCTTCCTGCCGTACTCAGGGCATACTCACGCCATCACCTTTTTACTTATTTCTGGAACCTAATTTGGGCCAGATGCATACAGGTCGGGCCGTAAATGCAGTCAGATGCATTTATGATATTGCTACCGTAGTGTGGGTACCCCCTCACACTTTCTTGAATGTGTTTGAGGGACTCTGACCGCAAGTACGACTGCAACTGGATGTATCTGACTGCAATTACGTCTACGGGAGTCAGTAGATAAAAGTCCTACCATCTTTACCCGACTCTAGACTCGAAATTGCCCCAAATACAGGCATAATGACCGTGCGCTCTATTCGGGGAAGACGGTAGTGGGAGTATTGCGCTCTTGACTCTTCATAAACGGCGATCCTTTCCTTTCCTTTTTTTCTTCTTTTTTTCTTTTTTTCTTTTTTTTTCTCTTTTTTTTTTTTTTCTTTTTTTCTTTTTTCTTTTTTAACGAAAAATGGTGACGGCCTTGAGATACCATCCTCGAAAAACTTGACCTGCCCCTCGTCATTTCAAAGTTATTTTCACTCATCTGATTCACAATCTGGATTGGATTCGAACTCAGGTCTGCATTGCAACAGGTCATGGGTGCATCAACTGAAGGCCCGTTGGTCTTTTTTTTTTCAAATTCCCCACAACGCCTTTTCTCAAATCGTTCCTACACACACACACTCAAAAAGAAAAAAAAAAAAAGAAAAAAAAAAAGTATCGTACCCACAACGCCTTTTCTCAAATCGTCACTACAGTCTTCCCCCGAATACAACGCACGGTCATTATAGCTGAATTTAGACTGATATATGTACCAAATTCAGCAATAATGACAGTACGTTGTATTCGGGGGAAGACTAGGTAGCCACAATATGTCCTCCAATATTGAAGCGATTCTTTTGCTTTTCCAAATTATTTTTTTTAATGGCGTAGCCCCTAAATGATGTTGTTGGGGTCTTGATCTGTTTCTTAGACTGTTTATCAACAGCTGCATTTGAATTTCGAGCCCATGACTATCTACCTTCTTCCCCCGAATACAACGTACGGTCATTATAACTGTATATAGACTGAAAGATACCCCAAATACAGCTACAATTACCGTACGTTGTATTCGGGGGAAGAAGGTAGCCCTGTGTACGAGTCAGCCACACAAGGCAGGATACGACTGGAGTAATTTAAATTTGGACGGGCTTTTTTTTTTTTTTTTTTTTTTTTGGGGGGGGGGGGAGTGGTGGGGTTGGAGGGGGGCGGCAAAAAGCGACGGCCTTTTTCAGCAGGTCACATCATTGAACTGACCGGGCCCAGGTAATTCAGAAGTATTTTCTTTCGTTGATTTTGTTGGTTGTGCTGTTTATGTAATTACTAATTTTCGAAAAGTGGATGTGCATTTTGTGAAAAAACTGTTTTCCATGTAATTTTTGAAATGACTCTGTTTTAGGTATTTAGTTGGCAAATGATTTAACCAAAAAAGAAAAGGGAAAATCCAATTACTTTAGGCAAAAAAACTAAAAGGAACCAGTCTGCCTGCGTTACCTTGGTTGCCCGGGCGGCCCGGCCGGGCACGGGCCAGGGAAGGTTCCTGCTTAAAACACAAAGACTGAACCCCCCCAAAAATCCATGAAAAAAACTATGTTGTCCAAAGGTTCCTGCTTAAAACAAAAAGACTGAACCCCCCCAAAAATCCATTAGAAAAACTATGTTGTCCAACTTGTCCAGGAAAAAAGAAACTGAGTAACTTTTGCCTCAGGGTCGGATAGAAATTGTTCTCCAAAAAAACAAAAAAAAAGCAATTTTTTTTTTTTTTGCCCCGGCTGGGCAAGTGGTCCCGGACCACTCTGGTAATCGCAGTTCAAAAATATATATTTGTCACAGCCCCTCGTTTGTTGTCCTCTTCTCTCTCTCTGCCTACGGTTTACCGGGCAGTTCTGTTTGTGACGATATATATATAACGGGGTAAATCGAGAATTTTGTAATTTTTTTTGGCTCAAGCTCGTACCCCCACCTTCTCCCCCCC